AATGTCTGTCTCTTCCTCGTCCTCACCACTAGAGCCTTAGCTAGAGCTGGAAGAAGGGACCAAAGAACGCTTCCGGTGCCTGATACGTCCCTTAGTCTGAGTCAACTTGACCTTGACCTGACTCTCGTCCGAACTTGAGGAAGACTCGCTGGGGGTGCCACCTCGCCTGGTCGAAAAAGAGTTCTCTGAACGCCCGCTATGACTTGGTCGGATGAATCCACCTTCTTCCTGAGTTTCGTCAGGGTCTTCTTCATCGTCACCGCCGCCGTTAGCATCCTCTTCATCTTCACCACCGCCATTAGCAACCTCTTCATCTTCACCGCCGCCGTTAGCTTCTCCTTCCTCTTCAGTGACCCAGGTTGACTAGTCATTGCATCTTCATTGGCACGAATCGTAGCATTCCAACCGCAGGTAAGAGTCGATCGGAACTCGTCAACGAGTGGCTTATCTTCTTTGTCTACCACAACATCTGGCGCCGCCTCTCCATTAAAATTGAGTGACTTGCGTGGACTCTTCGAACAGACTTCAGCCAGTATGTCTTGCAGCGCTAGCCTAGCAATCGTTTGTTCAGTCACATGTTGATTCCAGAATCGGGGCGCCGCTTGCCAATCGACCGTGTCTGTCGTTGCCGTGAGTCTGAGATGCATGTTAGTCTTGTGGAGTAGCCAACGCACAAAGCCATCGATCCGGTACCATGGCGTGTCTTGAGGGGTCCTCTCGTGGTAGTGACCGTTATTGTAAAGCCAATCCGCCTTAGCTTCAGCAATATACACCAGTGCCCAGACATCCTTTTGGTTATAGTTGTGGGAGTCAGTCAGACACTGCCACCAACCAGCCGCACCATACAAGAAAAAAATCGCCATCGATCCAAAGGCCGCCAGACGATCTTGCCCCCAGTCAATGAGAGCCTTAGAGTCCTTGAGGTCCTTCACGTCTCCGGTTTTGAACAGACTTTTGCTCCGATCTTCTGCTGTCATGTATTGAGAAACAACTCATCGTTTTGTTCGGAAAGGACTTGGTCTTGATACAGTGGTCGAGATCGTCTAGAAAAGCGCTTGTTGCATCATCAGACAGCAGAAAAGAGTCTCCCAAATCCGTTTCTGTAAGATCATAAGGCCGTTTCCCGTTCGTTTATTCCCATGGCTAGCAGTTCCCTGGGCACCAGCTTTCAAGGCCTTGATTTTCGCCAATACAAACTCGCCAGATTGGAACATCGTATCTTGCTTCCAAGTTGCGGATGTGTCGCAGACCGGCTTGTTGCTAGGTAGAACATAGTGATGGAAGTGGTCGAAACAAGACTGGGTGAGAGTGTGGATCTTCCGAAACGACGAGTCGATCGCCTTGACCGTATGCGGATCCTCAGTATAATCGCTGTGCTCATCCGTCCTGATCATCATTCCGTACAAGCACTGCCAAGATGAGGCCTTGACTTTGTCGTCCGAGTCATGCGCCGCCTTAATCATCGACAGATCTACAACACCTTCTTTGAAGAACGGATCGGCTGCGTCCACCTGCACAAGCCTTGGGCCTTAAGGAGAACATCAAAATCAGTTCTAAACTCATCTCATCCATCCAGAAATGCCAGGGCCAAAAAAAAAACACATACAAGTTGGAATCAAGTTCAAAAACTCATCCTTATACACCAAGCCAAAGGCTTGGATGGCTTCCAAGTCAGGCTTAAAGTTATCCATTTTCGTGTAAAACTCGTCATCCTCGAAATCGTCTCCAAAAGCCTTCACAATCTTTGCCACCCTGTCCATGAGTTCGGGGCCGTAGTTCCAGTGAGGATTCCTTGATTTGACCAGCATGTCCTTGTGAGCTATCCGAGCCTCCTCGCACGTTAGCGGGGGCCACATTGGAGCTAATAAAGCTGAACAGACCCAGAGAAAACCCAATGAGGATACACACCAGAAAAAGGACAATGCAAAAGCAAACTTACCACCTGGTTGAGGAGGGATTGCATACACACAATTATCCTTCTCCTCCTTCCTCTGCTTTGCCTTTCGATCCCGCTCGAGTTTCTGTTCCGGTGTCATTTCCGACACTTTAAGCCTGGGAGTCTTCGGCGGTTTTGGTGTTTTCGGAGTCTTCTTCTGGGCCTTCCCTTTCCCTTTACCACCTCGCTTCTTTGGACCCTCCTCTTTGTCAGACTGCTCCGCCAACTCGTCCACCCCCTCGTCAACAACTTCCTTATCCTTGATCTGAGTCGAATTGTCAGGCAAGGTCGAATCCGGCAAGACCCTTCCAGATGGAGGCAAACCAGGCTGGACAGAGGAGTTGCTGTTAGAGTTGTCAGGCAAGTTCTTCGTAGCTGGAGGCACCAGATTCTTGGCAGGAGTTACGGCAGTCGAAGACGATTTATGCTTAGACTTGGAAAGTGTGACTGGGTCGGGAGCGTTAGCTCGAGGGCCGGAGGTCGCTGAGGCCACTTCCTTAGACTTAGAAGTAGCAGCTTGATCAGAAGTCTCCAATGAGCCTGGGGGAACGGATGGAGCGGCACTAGTAGGATGAGAAGAGACATTGGAGGCTTGAGGGGCTGAGGGAGCTGAGACAGGATGCATAGACTTTGACTGTTGTGATTTCTTGCTGGCTGGAGGGGCCGAGGGAGCTGAAGGAGCTGAGGTCGCACAGACATTCCCGTTGGAAATCGTAGCAGCCACAAACGAGGGAGAGGCCCCAACAGGCTGAGCAGAGGAGATGTCCATATCCACACCGGATGATCGAGAGACCCCTGACGACCGAAGGTTCATAGCAGCCGAAGAGTTGATCAAGACCACCGGAGTCAACTTCCCCTTTGCTGAAGTCGAAGTACTTGCTGTAGGAAGCTCTAGACGAGGACCCTCCGGACGAGATGATTTATTGGACGGCAAGGGATGCATGAGACTGGGGTTAGATTGACTGATGAATTCTGCGAGCGAAGGCTGTTTGTTTACAGGGAAGCGAGGGGATATTCCGGCCAGGGCGTCACGGTCAGAGATGTTTCTGAAGCCATAAGGTCCCAGATCCAGTGGATCTTTGCCTTCTTTGCCTGTAGAAGTTGAGCCAGAACATGACCCATCAGAAGTGAAACCCAAACACACAGACACATAGCCACACATGCACTTACCTGCAGTTCGAGCTTTCTTGGCCTCCACGGGACTATCATCAACATTCATCGACTCTGACCCATCTGGCATCAGAACACACACAACAAAAGTCACTAATCAGCAGGAATAACCCTAATGAAGGGCGAGAGTACTTACGATCAACAGGACGCTTGGAGCTTGTTGACCCCCCAACTATCCTCAGTGAAGAATCATCGGGGTCGTCCATGGTCAAGTCGATGACCTCAATCTCGTCCGATCTCCCATCGCGCTCAGCCTCCTCAATCTTAGCATCCAGCTGAGAACAAAATCGAGTGACCATTCTGAGGTGCCTGTCCTGGAACTCAAAAGCCCCTGGTGCTATCAGGTGGTGCCCCGCTCGTCGTAGTTCGGAAACGTTAGCGGCTGCGTTCTCCTTGTCTCGGACCCCTGTGCACCCATTATATATAGGTTAGCCATTGCCATCCCAACCAAAGTCAAGCAAACACCAAGAAAACCTACATATACCCCTCATCTCCTTCATATCAGACAAAGAAGCCTTAGCCAAGTTGGGTAGCAGGCCAGGCATGATGCTTGTAGTCGAAGAAGAAGTGCGCGTCATCTGTCCGTGATTGAGGGGGGTCGTTTCTGGCTCCCGGCGCAAGAGACCGCTCACACCCTTCGGGAGAACCATAGGCGCAATCTGTAGGGGAGTGCCTTCGGAGCGCGGTGCAGGATTGCGCTTAACAGCAGAAAGTGCGGCTGGAGTTGAAGGCACAGTTGCAGGCCCTTTCCGAAACCTGAGACTATCCAAGGCCCCCACCCGTTCAGAAGGCAAGGCACCAGGAAGTGAGGTGCTACCTTTAGAATTCTTAGTTGCGCGTGGGTCGACGTTCGTCTTGTCGCCAGGCAAACCAGCTGAGGTGACCTTCGAAGCCATATGAGCACCGACCTTAATAGAGGGGTCATTGACGTCGATCAAAGTCTGCTTTTCGACTGAGGGCGCATCGATGTCCATAGAATCCTCCAAGGGTGGGGTACAGGTCGTCTCTTTACCAGTTTTCTTTGTCGCTTTGTCAGACTTTTTCACGATTGGGTTTGCCTACAGCAACATTTCAACCCAACATCAATATAGCCACGAGAGATCTGGGCCAATAGTGGATAGCGGAGATAAGCACCTTTTTGACTAAACTGGAAGCCACACGGCCTTTGTCCACCTCATCATTGACTTGTGGAGGCCCTTCGTCCTCGTCCGCAGATAACGCAGGATCCAACACGGCTCCGTCTCGACCAGTTGAGCGGAAATCGTCGGCAGTGGGTCTGGACTTCACACGTTTATCCGGACGTTGCACCTATCATCAAGGGAGAGATCGAGCACGATTGATCAAGACGCAGTAGGAATGCACATCAGAGAGCCGACTTACAGAAGCAGGCAAGGTTGTTTGAGCATTGACGACTCTAGCCAGACGCTTAGGATGAGGGACAGACCACTCCCCAGCCGCGGATCGAGAACCCGACTTATCTGGTTTTCCTGTAGCCTTAACACAAGGGAAAGATAACGTAGTCCTAGTGAGCATATGGGACTGAGCCAGCCAATCAATAAAGAAAGCGGTCGACTTACTGTACCAGCCCTTGATGAATCCATTGTGGGTACGGCCTTCCTGGTCGACTTGTTAAGAGGTGGGGCATCTTTCGTCACTGGAAGGAACCATCAAAGGAGAGAGACCCAAAGTCAGCCACGAATCGCATCGAGGGGCAGAGGAGGACAGCAACGCACAAGCACTTCGACCATACGGCAAGTGAGAAGTCAGGACGCTGTGTGAATTCCCATTGGCTTCGATGGCTTTGTTCCCTTCCGATATGGGGGACGAGATGTCTGGTCCTAAGGAAGAAAACGGAGCCGGGGCATTTCCTGGTGACGGGTCTGAGACCGGTGTAGTCACATTCGAAGTGTCATGCGCCATTGGATCCAACTGTAGAAGAATCAGAAGGAGAACGTCAGCTCTTGAGTCTTGAGGACAATAGAAAAGTTATGACAACCATAAATCATACAAACCTAAGCAGAAATCTGATGGTGATCAGTTGCAAATCGCGACTAACCAATCGAGGGAATCATTTGTAGTTGGAAGTAGAAGAAGAAGGCGAACGTCAGCTCTTGTGAAGAAGTGAAGAGATTAGAGAACGAGTTTGAATACATACAAACTGACGCGGTGATCAAAAGATGAACAGATGAGATGGCCGATTAACCGCTCGATGGACTAAAAGAGAGAGAGTCAGAAGGAGAAGCAGAAGGAACCGGTGAGGATCAGCTCATGAGAACAATCGAACTGATATGACGATCAGAAGTAATACATCAGGAAGCAGACCTCCGAAGTCAATCAGTAGAGATTGGCGTATAACCGGTCTGTCGACGGATCGAAAGAGGGAAGGAAGCAGAAGCAGGAGGGGGCGGCCGGTCAGCTCGTCAGAACAATCGAAAATTAATCAGGCCGGACCAGAGTGAAAGCAGATCAAATGAGATGGGGGATTCACGAGTCGAGGGAACGATTGAAAGGAATCAGCTGAGGTTGTTAAGACGGGAGGACGCTGGGCTTCTGGACGAAAGGGGAGAAATGTCAACTGGGAGGGCTGTTGAGCACACGCAGACAGTATTGACGACGAGAGAGAAAACTCACTGCAAGACAAGTCTTCGGTCAGACAAACGGCGATAGAGGCTCGAGGTTGAGGGATTGATTGAACGTAGTTAGTTGAGCTGGTTAAAATGGAATCGGTTGAATCGGTTAATTGGTTAAGACCGGGGAGTCAATAGGAAGTCTGGAACCAAAGGCGAGGAAGGATGCAGCAGTATGCCGCGCGGATACTACCCTGGCTGCTGCGTGGGGGGTTGGCTGCTACCCTAACCCCCAACTGCGCCGGGGCATGAGCAACTTAACCGAACCCTAACCATGAGTTAAGTTAATTAACCTTAACTTACATACATAGTCAATTGAGCGATCATGAACTAGCTTTGGTCCAAAGCAAATGACATCACGAACAAACAGTGACCCGACGTGTCCACACTATCCCCATGGGGAAGCACAGTGTTCTGGCCACATGGAACAATCCAGACACGACTGAGCCTCAGCAGTAATACCCCAAGGACCGAGAACCCCACCAGAATCACCGAGAGTGGAACTTGCGGCAGGTATAAATGCCCCATATCTTGATTCCCCACAGACTATTCGAAAGACCACCACCATTGTGATTAATACCAGAGAAATAGTAAGCCCAGCGGATGACTCGGCATTATCAGCTGAATCCGGAACATACTGACCATCTAACCCTTCATCAAAGCGAAAGAAGGACAAGCCATTTGTGACTCAATCATGGATCAAAACCAAACTCGATTCAACGACACGGTGAGACAGATCATTTTCAGCTACCGTCAGAGTGTTACTGATATTCAACCAATGTTAGGTCACACAGCTCCCATGCCGACGCTGCAGAGATATGCAGGCAGGCAACCCATGTGTCTATGATGTCGACCGGGGCAGCTGCGCTCAGTGTGAAACCACTGGCCAATTGTGTGATGTTCGAGGGGGTAAGTCCAGATGGCCCAGTTCACCCAACCAACAAACCAGCCTGACCAGTGACTATTTGATAATCAGACGATTTCCGAGTCGAGAGACATATCATCCGTAGACTCATCAGAACGCAAAATCAACTGCGCAGAGCCAGGGCGAGGATCATACAAAGGCCGGGAATGAATGGAACGAGCCTCTTAACGGACGTCCTCCTCAGGAGGATCCAGGCCGAAATCCGACGATTGGAAGAGAGAGTTTTTGACTTGAGGGGAGACGACCTCATAGAAATGTCCGAGGCCTAGTAGAGGCTCATTATTATAGTGGTAAATCACTTGGAATGCTATGCCATACCCGAGTCAACTCCCGTCTGGAGCATGAGTACTACTGAATGTTATGACAGAGAAATGCTACCACTCCCGGTAACTCAGATATCCCGGAAGTGAAAGGTAACCCATTGCGAGGCGTAGACTGAATGGGTGGGTGGCCGCATGTACCAGATGTGAAACCTATACCTATACACAGTATTGCATAAATACTAGTGAAGAGGGATGATACCAGCCACTCACTATCGGACAATGAGAGAATTCGGAAGCGAAACGGATACGTACACACAGCATCATTTATCGTCTAGTGATGACAAATGATGCCAGCCATTTCAGACCCGGACACTGACATATCCCGGAAGTGAAGTGAAGGTATTCAAGCGCGAGGCCTTGAGTGTCTGATAGGGTGGGTGAACAGTGGTACAACAATAACTACCGGAAGACACCAGACCACCGCAATGAAAAGTTGATATGGACTATTTCGATAGATGCTACCCCCAAGCTTGGTATAAAACGATGGGTCAGTCCCGGGAACGTGCAGTTTCCGGAATTGGGACCGTCTTGCGAGATGTACTCGTATCTCCTATGAGCATTTAACACGGGATGTTCGCTTTGCCCCCAGAGAACCAGTATGGAAACTCTTTTTGAAATATGGCCTATAGGTAAGCCAAGGTAACAACATCTGCACGAAATTTAGTAAGTACTCAACTTTTGTCTCATAATCCCACCATGGCCTCCACAGCTTGCGACCAAGGAAGAACCCCACCATATCACTTCCGGAATCTGAAAGATTCCGGAGGTGAAACAACCAAGAATATCAAACAAGGCTACATATTTCATGTGTATCCAAACCAAATCGGCTATAGTCAGTCAAGCTTTCCAGAATTGATAACTCCCACAAAGTCGTGGATCCCGGGGGTGAAACAAGTGCTGCGAACGATGTGACACTTGATCTGAACTATTTTCCTCTGGAGGTTCACCCAAACTAGGTATGCTGAGGTGGGTCACTCCCGGGCACGTGCAGTTCCCGGAAGTGGGATCCTATTGCGGCAGGCATGTATTACTATTGATTATCATATGCAAATTGACCCAAGATGGGTATTTAATTCAGTGCAGAAGTTGTCCCCAGGGCAGATGGGTCACTTGATATGGACTCTCTCCCGTACATGGTTCGGAATAAAGGTTCACTCAAAGTAGTTATGCTGAGATGGGTCACTCCCGGGAACGTGCAGTTCCCGGAAGTGGGATCCTCTTGCGGCAGGCATGTATTACTATCGATTATCATATGCAAATTGACCCAAGATGGGTATTTAATTCAGTGCAGAAGTTGTTCGCAGGGCAGATGTGCCACTTGATAAGGACTCTCCCGTACATGCTTCGGAATAACTAGGTATCCAAGGATGAGCTGCGCCCGGGAACTTGCATGCAGTTTGTGGAAGTGGGAAGGATTTGAAGTACAGAAATCAATCGCAAGTGACCTGGGAAGATGTCAAACCTCAAGACCTCTAAAGAAACATAGCTGTCGATGTCGTTTTCACACCCGGAAACCACAAGATCGCGGAAGTGAAACCACATGTTCCCAGTGGGATAATGAGAGACTTCAAGACATCTACAGTGGGATAATGGAAGACTTAAAGACATCTGAAGGAATATAGATGTCTGTGTCCTTTTAACTCCCGGCAACTCCGACATGCCGGCAGTGAGGCCGCATACTCACCAAACAATAATCATTACAAGGTCGAAGTCGGGTGATGAAAGACATCAAAACCCCTAAAGAAAGACAGTGTATTCTAGCTGCCACATGGGCAGAGTAGAGGCAGGTATGAAAAATAAAAGGGGACCCCAAATGTTGTGTACATACCCGGACAAGATAACCCACTATGTTGAGATAGGAGGGGCGTGGTACAAGTCGCTGGGATCCCACTGAAGCCAGGTAGTGGTTGATTTGACAGAGTTGGGGGAGGAGGGAAAGCGAGAGGGAGAGTGTGAGTGAGGGGACCATGACTCAGGGGCCGATGATACGGGGGAAGTGTTGAAGAAGCTGTATCAGAGCAAGCTGGGATGAAAGACACAGGCAATCACATTCAAGTCAGACTCCAAAAACCAGCCACTGTGGTCAAAATAGCAAGTAGCCCCGAACCAGATCAGACAGCTAGTCGATTTCACTCCCGGCGACTACAAGATGCCGGAAGAGAACCTACATATTCACCAGACTTTAACCTTCCAAGAGGGACAACCAAGATGTTCCTGTCGTGTCCACTCCCGGAGACTACGAGAAACCGGACTTCAAGCCACATATTCACCAAGCAAACTCATCACAAGTTCCAAGTGGGAACATGAAAAACATGAAGACTTCTAAAGAACCACAGAAGACCTGGTCGTTTTTTCGCTCCCGGAGACTACAAGTAATTGGAAGTGAAACAACAAAATCAGAGTGAACAAAAGAAATAGAATTCCGTGACCTTTTCACTCCCGGCAACCACAAGGTACCGGGAGTGAAACCCCCACCAAACGAACTCATTACACGTTCAAAATGGCGAGGATGAAAAACGTGAACACCTCTAAAGAAAAAAAGATGACGGGGTTGGTTTCACTCCGGGAGACTACAAGATTCCCGAAGTGAAACCACCAAATCACAGTGGGCAAAAGAATTGCGTGACGTTTTCACTCCCGACAACCCCAATGTGCCGGAAGTGAAGCCGCATAATCACTGAACCAAATCTGAGAAGTGGGATGATGAAAGACTTCCGGACCTCGAGTGGGCCAAAGAAATGCGTGACGCGTTCACTCCCGGGAACCACAAGGTGCCGGAAGTGAGGCCACATAATCACCCAAGTGGGTTGAAGAAAGACTTCCAGGCCTCTCAAGAACCCAAGATGTCATGGTCGGTTTCACTCCCGGAGACCCCAAGATTCCGGAAGTGAAACCACCAAATCAGAGTGAGTGAGCAAAAGAAATCGGTGATGTTTTCACCCCCGGCAACCACAAGGTGCCGGGAGTGAACCCCCCACCCAAAAAACTCAGTACACGTTCAAAATGGGAGCAACAAAAACATCAAGACCTCTAAAGAAGCAAAGA